GCCTTATAAAAAAAAGGCCTTGTTACTCTTGTAAAATCATGGCTCAGGCCTGCTACTTCAGCTAAGTAGAAGAGGACCATGGGAAAGTGACTCAGCTGAATTAGAGGTAGAAAACAAGTCATACAACTATGAAGTGTTCCAATCATGGTATATGGTGGTTGGTTGGATTATGTTTGTTATGTTTTAAAACTAGGTTACTGATAAAGGCCTGGCTGCTTAAAAAGGCCTAGTTTGTGCAATAAAGCAGATCTCCTCTGCACCTGCCTAGGGATTCTGCATTGCTTTGCTTTGTACATCTGGCACCCAAACAAAATACATTTTTTCTCTCTGCTGTCCCTTTTTGCTTGCCTGGTCCCAAACCCTGTTTTACAGTGAAAGCAACATGTCTTAACTCTATAAAATGACAGACTTTGGTTTTAGTCAGAGAACACCTCAGGAGTGTATCTTTGTGCTGGCAGCCACCACAACTACGAAGTCCCTGCTCACAAAGGAACAGCATGACCTGTATGAATCTCAAATCCGTAGAGACTGCAATTAACATCAGACAGCATTACGAGACATATAATAACTATATCTGATTACAGCTGGGTAGCAAAATGTAATATTTAGAAATCATATTAGAGAGAGATACTCAGATTACAACATAGCCAGCAGGACTGGGCAGTAACTGTCCCCCTGAACTCAGCACTGGTGAGGCCACAGCTGGAATCTTATGTTCAGTTTTGGCTTCTCACTACATGAAAGACATTGAGGTGCTGGAGCATGTCCAGAGAAGGATAATGAAGCTGGAGAAGGGGCTGGAGCACAAGCCTTATGAGGTGTGGCTCAGTGAGGTGAGGGTGTTTAGCCTGGAGAAAAAGAGGCACAGGGGAGACCTTATTGCTCTCTACAACTCACTGAAACAAGGCTGTAGCCAGGTGGAGTCATTCTCCCACATACTAAGTGATAGGATGAGAGGAACCTTTCCAATATAAATGACTCCATGATTCAATTATTTATCTCTGCTGCAGCCTGAGCTTTTAAATCATCAGCCCCATGAAGCTTTGTCCAAGCTCCTTGCAATGAGCAGACTGAGATACGATGCAGTTATGAAGTTCCTCCTAATACACAGGACTTTGCAGACTCCTTTCCTTCACGTGTTGTTACTCAAGACAGGACCTTCTTCGTCTGTTTGAGTGGCTCCCTGTTTACTTATGTATCTTGGAGGTGTCAAGTACAAATTTGTTTTTTTGTGTACACACTTTGCAGTTAGCTCTAATGAAACTAATGCCTGTATGTCAGTACCCTTGGTGAGTGCATGCTTGTGAATGTACCTTTGAAAAGATTCCCAATGTGTACATCACGAACTATTGACTGTAACCTGTTCTTTAGGAATCTCTCTGATTCAGCAGACAAGAAAGGCAAATGATTGACTGTAGCAATATTAATATAATCTAGTTGTCTATGCAATCAGACATAAGCAATGAAGGACATGGAGAAATAGAATACTTCACAAGATTAAAATATAAAAAGAAAAAAAACTAGTCACTTTTGGTGTCTATGATGGATATGTTAGTTGTGAATGGTGAAACTTTTAATGGGTCATAAACTCAAGATTGAGACCATATTTCAATACTCAGTAGAGTTATCAATTTTCTTTCTTTACATGATGTTATGTAGCTCTCTCTTCAAAATAAGCTCTCTATTTTGTAGAGTGTTTGTTTGGCTTCAGTCTCAGAGTTTCCAGGAGGGCATTTGGGTCCTTAAATGAAATACCTTGTGCTGATCTTCAGAAGTGAAATAAAAAAATTCAGATGTAAGAGTGGGATTAATTTCCTGGCACTTCATCCCAATTGTCTCGTTTCCTCCTTCTTTCTGTCTCTCACTCTTCCCATTCCAGGTCAGTGATCTTAGCCTTGTCTTCCTTTGTCACTGCCTTTTTCTGTCCCATAGTCCAAAACATGCTAATTTCTCAGACTTCCCAGGTAATTGACATGACCAAGTTGAATTCCAAAAAAAGTATTTTCAGCCCAAATTCAGTCTGAGGGCTGATGCTTCCAGTTTGAACTAAAAAAGGGCTTGCATATGAGAAGCTAGAACCACTTTTACAAATATATCAGTTGATTTAAAAAAAGCATTTGCAGTTCTTTGACCTGCTTAGGCTTTTGTCTTCTGCAGATACAGAAGGGTTAGCTGGACTCACTTATCTGATTCTTCCATGATACCTGACATAACCAAATGTACTTTCAATGACACCTCATTGCCCCTATTCCAAAAGACAGCAGTTATGTATGTCCTAGTCATATAATGAGTACAAACTGCACAGAGTTGAAAAAAGTCCATAAAAAATGCTGAAATTTTTTTCCAGAGTACATGTTAGGTGTAATATCTTATACCAATGCACCTGAGGTGGTAATTTTCACCTAGGCTGTAATTATTTCATTATAATTTGAGATGAGTTTCTAGAATTCTTCTTACTTCTCCTGTAGAAGGAATTCGGAGAGTTCACTAATACCATTTAAGGTTTCAACCCTAGTCATATAGATGGAATGAGTTAAAAGATGTAGACTAGGAAACATCTTTTTCCTGCCTTCATCCTATGGAGTCATCATTGGTAAACTAAGTAATTGTAAAAGACCTCACTCAGAAGTCACTGTTTTTCCCATATCTTTCTTGTCTGTTTGGACAGTCAGTCATGGAATCACTAGATTTGATAAATGGAAATACCAGTTTTCCACAGTCAGAGAAATAAGAACTGTTAAATAAATTGACTGAACAACCTGACCTTAACTGAAGAAATTCAGGAAAAGTGTTCTTATATACAAACTCATCAAAGCTGGGGAAAAAAAAAAAAAGATTAATCAAAGCTCAAAGAGAATGCATACCTAAGTTATTTGGGGAGTAAGTACAACTAAGCTCTTTCTTCTTTGCAATTAAGTATAATCACATGCATATCTGACACATGCATCATGCTTACATGTAGCTAAAGGAGTGGAAGATTCTGATTTAGCAATGTCAAAGGATATAGTTTTTTATACAGAGAATGAAGACAATGGTGTTATTAGGGTTTGCCACTGCAGAAAAATACAGAGCAAAGAAGCAGATTGGCCTATGCCCTGGAGAAAGGTCATGGTACTTCTGCATATTTATACATATACAATAATGTTGAGCTTGAAGGAAAAAAAACAGGCCAAGGGGCTTGCTCAAAGTGAGTGAGTGGCACAGCTCAGATTAGAACAGAAAGCTCCTAAAGGCTGGTATGCTTTGATATGCAAACCTAAATATTTCTGCAAAAGGGCAAGGGCTTGCATATGAATGCAAGCAGCTGCATCTTTGAGTTCCTTGTCACAGAGTGATCTGAGTGGTCGGCAGTAACAACAATAATTTAGCACTTTTATGGAACTGTGTATATTTAAAACACTAATAAATGATAACCTAAAGTGATAAAGTATAAACTCCCCTTTACAGTAAAGCAAACAAACATACAGATAATTATTGATTTTCTGAAAGCCACACCCAATTCTATGAGGAACAAAATTAAAACTTAAGAAATCTTACAGATGCCTTATATACTCACTACAGCATTTTCCCAGCAAAATGTGCGAACTAATATCATTCACACATTGATCTTGAGAGTCAGTGGAATGGAACATACACATTGTCTAATGAGCCTGTATTTCCAAGTCCTTGTTCGTAAATCATAAATGTCAGTAGTCAGTTTGGCATACATGTATATGAAAAATCATTAGCTAAGAGATAATGAAAACAGAAAACACATTTTGAAAAAATTTATTCTAAACATACAGTATACTATAGGTTTTCTCCTTCCTTCCTTCCTTCCTTCCTTCCTTCCTTCCTTCCTTCCTTCCTTCCTTCCTTCCTTCCTTCCTTCCTTCCTTCCTTCCTTCCTTCCTTCCNTTCCTTCCTTCCTTCCTTCCTTCCTTCCTTCCTTCCTTCCTTCCTTCCTTCCTTCCTTCCTTCCTTCCTTCCTTCCTTCCTTCCTTCCTCCCAGACTCTCTTCTTCCCTTGTTCTGTCCTTCCTTTCCTCTTTCTCTCCTCATGAAAATTAAAACTTCTTGCCAAAAGTTCAGTATTCATTTTATATTCAGTACTATACCATTTTTTCCATCTTTTCAAAAGGAGTTAAAATGAGGTTCTCAGAGTATTATGCTCTCTGACCTGTCTTTTGTTGGACAGAAAATTTGGAGCAAATCAAAATTATTAATTCTTTTGGAAAAATCTTCACCCGAAATTTTATATTTTCTTTACAGTTTTGCTTTTAACAGCTGCATAAATTAAGACAGTCTTAACCCTGGAAAATGCTTCTAATTTAGAGTTTACAGTTGTTTACAGGAAAAAAATGTACCTAATTAATCTTCCTTAAAAAAATTTACAATGGTTCCAATTAAGTTTCAACCCAGAGTCCTTTGTATTAGATAGAGAAAGCAAAACCTGTTCAATTTAGAAACCTAGCTACAGTTCTAATGGCAGAATGGCTGGTGGGGCTCCATGTGGGATGATTGACCCTCATCTCAAGGGTTGCAAGTCATCTACATCTACTGAAGGATTAAGCTTACTGGAGATATTGCAATTATATAACTTGAGAAACTATCCTCAACAGATATAACAGTTATCTTACCACTCAGAAAGATTTGTATGTGCCTCTTTATTCATGAACTGGAACTGTTGAAGGATATTGGAAAGCAACCAATGCACAGTCAGGACTGAACTAAGCCGCCTCATTGGGTCTACCATTCGATAAAGGTCACGCAGCAACATTTGGATCTTGGGTGCAGAAGAAGGGAAAAGCTGAAAAGAGAGACAGTGATATGAGACAACACAGTATGATATTTGTAGAGTGCAAAGATGTGAAAAATTATCAGAAGGTAGTATATAGAGAATAGGGCTGGTCATATATGAATGCTCTTTCCCACATGCCTAGAAAAGGACTGTCATGCCCAGTCTTGCAAATCAAGATTACCGGTATCGATGTGGAGGTTGATCTCCTCTGCCTCTGAACTGGCCCTGAGACTACCTCAGCTGGTCAGAGTGTGAAGCTAATAACGCCAAGGTTACAGGTTCAATCCCTGTATTGGCCATTCACTTAAGAGTTGGACTTGATGATCCTTCTGGATCCCTTCCAACACAGATGATTCTATGGATTCCAAATCTATCAGACTCAATGCTTCTTCAGAAAGTGTCATCAGTCTCCATCCCTAATACTCATCCAGGAAGTTTCATAGAAATCCTGAGATCATGCACACTTTCTGAAGAACAGATTCAATTGCACATCCTTTATTTTTGAATACTCACCATTTCTTTCATTAACTGTGCCTATTCACAGACACTGATTGTTATTCCTCCATCTGTGTTCTTCTCCAAAAATGAACTCAAAGCATGAAGAAGAAAACATAACATATTCCACCTGTGGTGGTTTTTTTGGGGGGGTGTGGGGTTTGTTTATTTTGTTGTTTGGTTTGGTTTGGGTTGGGTTTTTTGCCTATATACTGTATACTTATACTTTTTCATTTATATCTACTCTGGTCATGATCTCTGTATGGTACTTTCTCTAGTCCTTCAACTCACTCCTGCTTTGCTTTATCATCATTCTATTTTCTTACCTCCTTATTAGTAATTTACATTGTTTTTCCTTCTTTTCCTTTCCTTCTATTTTCTGATCTCTATTTCTGCTTTAGATGTCCTTTTCAGTGGAAGCTCAGCTCAAATACTCTGTTGTATTTCTTTATGTATTTTAAATTACATTCATATGATCCACCAAAGTAAAATCAGTGTTATCTCTATCTACTTTCTTCCCTGCCCATCCAGTCTAATTATATATGCCAGAGGCAGCAAAGGATGGTAATGAAGGAGAAATGTTAAGAGATTTACATAAAATATATATCAAATAAAACAAAACTCTATTTGTTTTACCAGCTCAAATTGTCCAAGACTCTTCAGCTCCTTTATGAAAGTAATCATTGAATTTATCTCCTTCAAAGAGAAACATTGCTCATCTTCTCTGTTGTATGTTCTGTCCTGTGAAGGAAAGGGCAGCATGTTCTAGTGAAACCACATGGAAAGCAATGTGCTTTCATTAGACCCCAATCCCTTCACTGATCATAGGAACAAGTTACAGCAGCTCTCAACTAGCCCTAACCTCAGCCACCCAGCTCCTTGATAGCTCATCCCATTTTTCAGTCTAGAATAAAGCAGACTGTGCCCTAGCTTTGTGTAGAAAAGAACCCATAGAAACTACTGCTCTCTGGAACACGGGCTGGGTAATTGTATCACTGCATGTCTGGATGTGTGCAGCTTTCTACTTTATCCTGACATAAATTTAGAACCCATGACCCTGTTTTAGCCACATCTGTCCAAGAGGTGGAAGTGGCCTGGATAATTTAGTCTCTGTAAGTCTTTCAAGCAGGGGACTCCTCAGAAACACATCCTTAAATGTTCCCAGACTGAGAGAAATACTGCTAAAAGAGATCTCAGCTTGTCAGAAATGGTCTTCACTGGTGAAGTAAAATTTATGCAAAATATAAATGCAAAAAAAAAGCCCAAACAAATAAAACTGGAACTGGATCTTTCACTGAGAATAAGACACAAAGTTGTAAGAAACAAAATTTAATTCTGATGCTCCATGCATGAGTTAACCACTTCTGGATGAAATTGTGAAAACACACAAATCTGTATATTAAAAAAAAGACCGTTTAAAAAAAATAGTGAGAAAACTACTTTTTAAAGCTTTAAATATATCTTTCAGCACAGTATTTTGGAAAATGACATAATTTGAGAGTAGAATTTTTGCAAAAGAAAATTCAATTGTTCAATTTAATTAGTTTTTTTCCCCGGAATACAATAAAAGGTGGTTTTGATCAAATAAATCCTTCATTCTATAAGTTGGCACCAAGAATTTCAGAAGCATACAATTTAAAATTAAACATTTTCAAATAATAATAAGAAAAGGTTGGAATTAACTACCTTGCTCACAGATGACCCATATATTTTTTGCAAAGCTTCTATGAAATTAGATGTTGAGGATTCATTAGATAAGAGAAATTTAAATGTGTCTTCAAAAAGAAGTTCCTTGGAAATTTGGTCCTGAACAGTCAATTCATTCTCAATTTGAAAGTCAAAGTTTTCATGCACCTGTTGGAAAAAATTATAAAAATTTATAGTTTGAATAGTTCAGTCTTCTCATAGCAATAAACTGGAACTGGAACTACACTGGAACTTTAAAAAAGAAGGTAGTATCAACAGAAACTGACAGACTATAAACCAGCAAATGCTGTGCCACATTTTCTGTCACAGCTACATAACACAATGTTTGCTGCCCCCCAGTGGACAGAGTGCAGAATTGCAGACACATGTGAAAAGCTTTTTTATTCAGTATTTGATTTTAAATTTGATTAAAAATATAAAATGTCAGATTATATGTTAACATAACTCTTGCAAAACTCATGTGCTAATGGTTATTACAGAACATCTGTTACTATGGATAAAGTATGAGTTTTACAATATATAAACGCAATGAACAATTTCATGGTTATAAAATATGACTAAATCATTACTTAGCATAAACACAAATATAGCATCAATATGAATAGGTTGTGTGCATAATATAATTTCCAAGTTATAATATTCAAAGTCAATGTTGTATTAATTATCAACAGCTATTTTCTAGAGCCATTTGGTTTTTTCAGAAGAAACTACTAAATCCTACTGATTTACTATAAATTTATGTATAACGGATAACGGTTGAAACTTCTATACAGGAAGGTAAACATTATGTTTTATGTTTAATTTTTTTAAGCTCTTCTGGGATAATTTTTTTACAGCCTGGTATACAATTACTGAATTGTTCTGACATACTGCATTTCTTATACTAGCTAACTTCTCAGACTAATTAAAAATATTGTCTTAATGGATTTTTTAAATTCTGCAAATTTCCTTTCTTATGTGCATTTTTCCAGCGTGTTTAAAGGATGTTTTTTTCTGAAGAATGCAGAGATCGACTGCACTGTTATTACTAGACACTTGAACAGATTTTAAGTGGGGTATATTAACTAATTTTTCTTAATATTTATATATCATTAATATAAAGAAATATTTTACATACCTAGGCATACACATATTCATGTGTATACATGAGGTAATGAGAACTGCTGGAAAGCAGCACAATAATTGTTTCAGGACAGGTTGTTCTGAGGCAGGAGTTGTACAAAACCTAGCACAGGTGTCATTTCCATGATTTTAAGGGCTTGGATCATCCAGGAAGAAGGCAGCACAGTGGAGGTCAAAGCAGGTAATGAAATGAAGAAGTACAATCCAATTTATGGAGAACTTCAGTTAGTATTAAAAGCCAATTGTGGTTTTTTAACTTTGTTCATCTTTGTTCTGTCACATTTAAAACCTAACTTCGTTTTCATGCAATGCCTCCTATGGATTTTGTTTCACTGAAAATCATTTGCAGTAATAGTCTTTTAATGTAAACTGAAAAGTTTGCACATTTTGATAGCCTGATGAATTTCATCACAGGAGCTCTGACTCTTAAAAACTAGTTTCTTCTACAGAAACTTTCCACAATCAGCCATAAATAATATTAAAGTATTGGTACATTTCTTAGACATTTGAGAGTACCTGTCAAAGAAGGTTTTCTGCTGTGTTCTTCTTGGTGTAAATTTTTTGAATCAAGCAATAATTTGTGCGATTTTCTCACCTTAAGAACTACTGGGTGTATGGACATGCCGAATCCAATGTCAAAGGTTAGCATTTGAAAACATTGGCTGCATCTGAAAAATACAATATAAAATGAATCCGTTTTTGTGAGGTTAGGCACTGTTGTGAAATATAGAATCATAGAATAATTTAGGTTGGAAAAAACCTTTAAGATCATTGCTTCCAATCATAAACCTAGCACTGCCAAGTCCACCATTGAACCATGTCCCTATACACAGTAAAATTCAATACACACACAGGTCCAGAGAACACATGCAGGAAAACATACACACACAGGTCTAGAAACAGCATGTGATATAGACTAAATAAATTTCTATGAGCCAGCAGCATTAAATATGGAAGGAGTCAGATTGTAAGGTGATGAAAATAGTGCTATATAAAAGTGTTTTTAATGATTGACAGAGAGGGTGGTGAATTATGCCGAAGGAAGAAATGCATTTTGAAGAGAGTGAATGAGGCCCTGCAAAGCCTTGAAGACATTTGGAAGGGAAGAGACGGTGAAACATCCCAGGCTTACTGAAGTCAAAGAGCTCTGCTGCAGCTATGGGGCTATTTGGAGGCATGGGCCAGGAGTTATACACAAGTCTTGTGTTACACAAACAAGACAGTCCATTTCAATGGTAAAAAAGAGATTTCGGACCGCTGTCAAAATAGCTTCATCCCCATTACACTCCTCTCCTCCTTGCTATCCTCACCACTCACAATATAAGCTTTATTCCCAACTTGTGTAAGTCAAATAATGAGTTTTACATTACTACCACTAAAACACCTGGTTTTCAAAATAGCTTAAACACATAAATTTAATAAATAGTAACTTATTTAGTACTTATCATAAAAATGTCAGGGATGGGACATAACATACATAGAACAAATATTAATCTTATTTAGTAAAAATATTACATAATTGAGGTGGATTTATGTGTAAGAATTATAACACTAACAGTAATGATTCCACACAGAAATGTGACTGTTGGTGCCTAGGTATATTTAATAACCTACACTTCATAAAGTGTTTTACAGTGCCTCTTGTTCAGATTGCCTGCCAGAGCCAGCTCTGAACAATCTGGGCTACTCTAGTATTAAATATTTGACATATGACAGAAAGCTCACTGAAAGGAAATACAGCTTTATATATGTTAGGACTATCCCAATTGTGAGTGATTTCTGTTCATTTGTGCTGCCTGAAACAGTTCATTAGGACAGCAGCTGGTCCTAAGTATTCATCATAACCTTTTCACAAACTACAAAACTAGTGTTTTCAGAAACACTGTGGATATTGAAGAGTTGTACTCCTTAAATGCAGCATGTCCATACCTTATAGAGAAGTATGAAATAGATGGGAATTTTTTATTTTAAGATT